CTCCACCATCACAGGTCCAGATGCTCTCCTCTATTCAAACACAGAAAAACAACATAATGCATGTGTGTGTGTGTGTGTGTGTGTGTGTGTGTGTGTGTGTGTGTGTGTGTGTGTGTGTGTGTGTGTGTGAACGAGGAAGCGACAGACGGAGAACAGAACACATTGTCCAGGATGGAGAGAAAAAGTGTGTGTGTGTGTGTGTGTGTGTGTATGTGTGTGTGTTTGTGTGTTTGTGCAGATCGTTACCGCCAACTGTTGCACTCACACTCCTCCTGGGGAAGAACGAATACTAGAGAAAAAAGCCATTTGGGCTCAGAAAGCTGTATTACTGAAGAGCTGCACGAGGTGTTGTTGAAAAGCCTCATTACTTTTCAATAAATGTCATGTAATGTGAGGCATCGATTCTAAATCAATGCAGTCCTTTGACGGGCTGTTTCTATGTGTACAATTGATGATATAACGGTATAATATGGGTGTAGTAACGGAGTAATCTGGGAGTAATATGGGTGTAGTAACGGAGTAATCTGGGAGTAATATGGGTGTAGTAACGGAGTAATCTGGGAGTAATATGGGTGTAGTAACGGAGTAATATGGGTGAAATATGGGTGTAGTAACGGAGTAATATGGGTGTAATATGGGTGTTACATGGGTATAATATGGGTTTAACAAGGGTGTAATATGGATGAAATATGGGTGTAATATGGGTGTAGTAACGGAGTAATATGGGTGTAATATGGGTGTAGTAACGGAGTAATATGGGTGTAATATGGGTGTAGTAACGGAGTAATATGGGTGTAATATGGGTGTAGTAACGGAGTAATATGGGTGTCGTGGTGTCATAGGGATGTATTAATGTGTAATAATAGCAGTGAAACATGGGTTATGGGTCTTATACGGGCGTAAAGTAGTAAATTCCAATCAATCAATATTAAATTATATTTCAAGGTGATTGCCCATTTAAGGGTTAATAGTAATAAAGACACCTTGTGTTTTCACTGAGGTAGATTCGAGCAGAATGAATGATGGGGTTTAAAGTAAGGAGCAAAAATGTTCCTTTCATCTCTATAAATAAAACGTGAACATTATTGCGACATCACTGCGTTTGCTTTCCGCCTGGGATTATCGGAGCAACACTAAAACAAACCCACCCAGGTGTTTTCCAGCTGTTACCGACGGGACACACAGCTGCAGAACTACAGTCCTCAGAGATATAAAAAAAACACAAAAACAGTTTGTTAAAATCTCATTTATTCATCCCTGATATACAAAACAATGTTTCATTTCTCCGTGTGAAAAATAGCTCTGGAGCTCCGTCTGTTTTGGCCCTCTGGGGTTGCCGTAGTGGAGGCCTCCAGTACAAAGTAAGTCCCTAAAGCGTGGATAACAAATAAGAAAACCCTCAACAGAAGAGGGTCTGGTCTTATCAAATCCCCTCGCATTCAAGAAGAGGGGAGAAGGGGCTTTTATTAGAGCGCCAGCTACAGGTCAAGCAGCAGTATTCACCACAACGCCTTTTAAAGACCAGACGGGGGAATGTTTCCTAACAGCCAAAATAAAACGTATATTATTTTCTTAAACAACACCAACATCTTCAAACTGTCCTTTAACATCTTAAGGTTGATTGTAGTGAGTTTCTATTGAGGCTTTTAGGAGACCCTCCCCCCTTAAATCATCGTTGAAATATCACCTGTGTGAGCGTCAGTTCTCCTCATATACATAAACATATTTTTACACTTTTCAGGTTTTTCTTTACAAAAATAAGGTTATCTTGCATTCAGTTGAACAAAGGGGGGGGGGGGGGGGGGTTACAGAGTGAGATGAACAACAGTTATTGCACAAATCGATTACCTACAAGTAGATCATCCATAAAAAGGAAGGAGAAAAAACAATAATTTCTACTTTGATTAATACAGACTAATAAATATGCATCGGCTTATATCTGCGAGATGAGATGAACAACGTGTGACATGTCGAGGCTCGGGCTGAAGGCAGGACGATGAGAATGGATGAAAAATAACAAATAAAGAAAGTATCTGTGTGTGAAAAGTGTCTGCATTGCTTATTCCCATGTATATATAGTATATGCAGGCACTTGTAGTACGAACATGCTTTTTTTTGGGGGTCTTTTCCTCTCTGTCCAGCAGCCGCTTGAAGCCTTTACCCCGCTATCGTGTTATTTGCAAATAAACGTCTTAGTAGAAATGTTTTACACAGCAACATTAAAATCAATCTCTTAAATCTTCAACAAATACCACAAAACAAACCCCCACCCAAATCTCATTTCATTCATTTCTCAGATTGGTTAAGACATTAAATTATCATTTTACAATACAGTCATGATGTTAAATATATTGATCTGGAAGCTTACGTTTGCTAAAACAGCTCACCCCCAGGTCGTCAGTGAATAAAGCTCCGTGTGTGTGTGAGGTGAAGAGGCCAATTCAAAAGTGAAATCATGGGGCTTTTAGTAGAGAACAGGGTGCAGGGGAGACATACACACACAGGCACAAACATATCATCCATTAGTCCCATTTTCATAACCGTCAAACTGTAGTTTTTGGTACATTTTGATCATATAAAACTAAGTCTCACATGCACTCTTGTCATGCGAAAGTCGTGCTGATCTACAAGACACCACGGGAAATCAAATCCATGCAACGCGTCTGATTCGGATGAAGTTAGAGGAGGTAAGGAGATTCTGCAGGTAGTAGTGGACAAAGAAAAAGGGAGTGTGTGTTATGGGATGTGTTCAGCAGTGGAGGAACGATGGAGAGAGCGAAAACAAATCGATGTTTTTCTGTCCATGGCTTGGAGTTTTATAGTAGACATGAATAATTAAACACGCAGTACTTAAACATTATCTGCCATGCTTGCGAATCAGAAACCAGCTGACGTTAATCTGTCATGGCTCCAGTTTCAGACTCACGTGAGAAACATCATATAGCAATGGCTCGTGGAGGTAAGAGGAGAGCATTTTTTAGGGTTGAACGACAGATTCGACAACGCGCTTACGTTCGGTTTTCTTTCTTCTGCAATAGTTAAGCTTCATACTGGTGAACAAGGTACATGTATTAATGGTTCAAACACGTCTTCGACCACGCAGTAGTGTCAGTTAATCTCAAAGGATCAGGTCTTTGTATGCATGTACCTCCCGTCGAGTCAAATCGGACCGATTCACTACTTTCCTCCGTCAAAAAATATTGTGTTTTACATTTGATCGCCTCAAGACCTCACGGTTTCCTCCACAGTAGGTATTTGAACGTTACTGATCGCTACTTTAATTTAATTTTTAAGTGGTTTAGTCAACTTTGTAACTCCTGGGTATTGTGTTGGTACATTAGAGAGGACACACCCACATGTTCATCGTCTATCCTTTGTATATTCACTGCAGTTATCCATGTTAACCAGAGACATTGTTTAAAGGGGTGTTAAATCAAATTGGTTAATGGTTTTATGTTAATATACAAAGTCTACACTAAAGTAAGGGTGAGAAACGAACCTACAGGAGTGTTCAGCTGCTTCTTCTGCTCACATATTATCACGTGCTGCCGTATATATATATATGTTGGGAACATAGTCTGCCCGTTACGTCCTTTACTTGCTGGGCTTCTTCTGTGTCTGGTAGTAATGGAGGTTAGCTAACATGGCGCTCAAAGGCAGATTGATGAGAGCCCCCGAGCAGCTGGTTAGGTAATGGTGTCTTCATTCAGCCGTCCATTTGCTCTCCGTTCTCCCTCCTTCCTCCCTCTCCATCTCTGCAGCGGTTATTAACAGCTATATTTAGACAAGACTCTCTGAGAGCGTGCGTGTGTGTGTGTGTGTGTGTGTGTGTGTGTTTCTATGTGTCGTTGCAATGTAAGGCTACACAGGATGAAAGGAGTGTGTGTTATGGGGGAAAACAGCTACAAGTGTTTGGGCCCAACAGGCATGCATAGACTTCACTCTCCACTGACGCGTCTCAGTGAAGACATGAGACCCACGGAGAGAAAGAGAGGTATTATGGAAACAAGAGAAATGCAAACTAAGGCATCCGTCCCCTCGGTCCAGTGTTCGTTAACGGGACAAACTGTCGTGGAGTTTCACAAAATAAAATGGTGCAATGGCAAATTCCAGTTCAACCCAGACCACCTGATCAGAGACAAAGCGCTGGAACACAATAACTAAAACAATCCTATAAGAAATAGTCGTTTGCTACCCTCGTCATGCACGCTCACATTTACTCACACACACACACACACACACACACACACACACACACACACACACACACACACACACACACACACACACACACACACACACACACACACACACACACACACACACACACACACACACACACACACACACACACACACACACACACACACACACACACACACACACACACACACACACACACACACACACACACACCACACACACACACACACACACACACACACACACACACACACACACACACACACACACACACACACACACACACACACACACACACATACACATACACGTTATTCTTCCTTGTCATCGTTGCTTAGTTTCTACTCTTGCAGGTCCAGACTTTGATCTACAGATAAACACGAGCTGCCTAACAAAACAATAATCCCTTTTTTATTTTTGAAAGATTTGAACTCTTTTTACCCCAAAGGAGTGTCAGTGCAAGACTCGTGTGGGGAGTCCTCGAAACACAGTGGGACATGGAGGAGAAGAGGAGGGGATGAGGGGAGGAAGAAGGAGAGGAAGAGGGATGAGGAGAGGGAAGAGGAGAGGGAAGAGGAATGAGGAGAGGGAAGAGGAGAGGGAAGAGGAATGAGGAGAGGGAAGAGGAATGAGGAGAGGGAAGAGGAAGAGGAGAGGGAAGAGGAAGAGGAGAGGGAAGAGGAGAGGAATGAGGAGAGGGAAGAGGGATGAGGAGAGGGAAGAGGAATGAGGAGAGGGAAGAGGAGAGGGAAGAGAAATGAGGAGAGGGAAGAGGAGAGGGAAGAGGAATGAGGAGAGGGAAGAGGAATGAGGAGAGGGAAGAGGAAGAGGAGAGGGAAGAGGAAGAGGAGAGGGAAGAGGAGAGGAATGAGGAGTTACTGTGAGGCGAACAGGACTCTTTCCAGAATGAAATATTGATCCTAAACCCTGAGGATTTTTGCATTTTTTGTTACTTTGGGAGCTTAAAGATCTCAATGTCCTCCTCTTCTTCCTCCTCTTCCTCCTCGTCCTCCTCGTCCTCCTCACTGGGACTTCTCGTCGGACTCGGAGGGGGTCTGTTCTCGGGGCAGAGACAGACTCTTGTGGCGGTCCCACAGCTTGTGGAGCTCCGTGGCTTCGTTCTCGCTGCTGCTGGTGCCGCTGTCTCTGAAGCTGGCCAGAGGGGGGCGCACCTTCACCCCCTTCACCGTCACCGAGCCCTCGATGGCCTTACGCAGCTGGGGGGGGGGGGGGGGGGGGGGAGAGGTTTAGATTCAAAGACTCAAAGGTTTTATTGTCATATGCACAAAGCTACAGTGTAGAAAGACAATGATGACGTATGAACCGAGCTCCTCCAACGATGCAACATATATACTCAAATACTAAATAGTGCAAGAAGTCTCTATACATGTCAATAGAATATGATATGAACAAGAACAGAATATGAAATTAAATAATGTACATTAAGACAAAATGAAATACGGTTTATTGCGGTGATAACTATTTATATAGATAAGTAGATAGCAAGATGACAAACAGATGAATGTGTATCGGGGCACTTTACAGAGCTCAGGTGTTCAGTCTTATTGCCTGTGGGATGAAACTGTCCCTGAGTCTGGTTTCTGTCCACATGCTGCGGTACCGCCTGCCAGACAGAACAGTTTCTGGGGGTCTTTTGTAATCCTGAGGGCTTTCTTCCTGAGCCGGCAAAGAGAGATAAAGACCAGGCAGTCAAGCAGGAAGCACCCCAATGAAGCCATGTACGATTCGTCTGCCCTAACCGACCACAACGCAACGGGTTTTAAGATCCTAACCTCAAGGGACTAAACTGCTTCTGTGTCTCAATGTGCGTAAATATATTCTGTACATTTGCTATTTCATTTGCGTCCAAAAGTATGGTAATATGCACACTTTTAAGAACTCAAGTTGAGTGCAGAGCGCTGGACAAGGGTCGCCATCTTGGCTAGAAAAAAGACTTGTATACAATTAAACTAAAACCCCCTAATCCAGTGTTTCTCAAACCTTTTCATACCAAGGACCACTTAACCAATAAAAAAATACTCGCGGACCACCTAACTCCACAAATATCCAAAATCACATTGTTTTTCTAGAACAGATTACAAATCGCAACATGTGTGATGAAGGTGTGGCGCTGGGCGGTATCATGCAATCGAAGGAAAACTTAAGCTCGCTCCATTACGGAGATATTCCCGCGAGAGTGCGGAAAACTTAAATGTATTTATTTATTTCAAATGTGAAATTTTACCAATATACTCACGGACCACCAGTTTGAGAAGCATTGCCCTAATCAAACAAACTAAATGTTGCTTTACGGTCTATTTTACACTAAATCAGACCCTGATTTACAGAGACTGTTTTGTAGGATTTGTGAAATCTGGAGTGCTTCTGAGGACACTCCAAACCTAATTTCTTTGACGTTTCCTGACAAAATAACTTTGTAATTTGGTAGGGAAAAGGAAGACAAGCTTTGCCCATCTTCTGTTTTGAATGATCAGAACACCTTGGGTTTAAATTGACTTTAAATAAATAAGGAAACATATATTTAAAGTCTTATACAACATTCTTCCTGATCAGCACATTGGAGCTTTTGATCAGGATTCTCTACTCTCATCCCATCTCTCTTATTTCTGAGTGTGAGCGTAGAACTGAGGTTTCTGTTGGCTTGTGTTCTCTCTGAAGGGTCTCGGTGCTACAGGTCCAGAGTAAAGAGAGCAGCGTCTGAATGCTGCAGGGTGGAAATAACGCACTTGAATCATTCTTCTTCTGTGCAGTGTGTGATGTAACTGCGTGTCTGTTTGGCAGACGGCTTTATCTGCTGCTGGAGCCAAGAACAAAACAGCCTAAATGTCAGGGCGAGGCAGCGGCGGTGCACTCGGCAACAATCCTCTCTCACTGCCCGGCCAATTCACAAAAGAGCGAGGAGGTTTTTCAGTTGTTTTGTGAGGCAGGAGACAATAGATAGAGACGGCAATATTAAGCAGCCTTTTGTCTGTAGATGACAGGCAGAGGGAGGAGGTGTGTGTGTGTGTGTGTGTGTGTGTGTGTGTGTGTGTGTGTGTGTGTGTGTGTGTGTGTGTGTGTGTGTGTGTGTGTGTGTGTGTGTGTGTGTGTGTGTGTGTGTGTGTGTGTGTGTGCAGCACAGTGACAGCACTGATGACATTCACAGTGATTTGACAATAATAAAGAAGCAGCAAATGCGCTTCCTGTGTAATTAATGGCAGTCTTAGAGCTTCTTATAAGAGACGAGGTTTCTCTACATATGGATGTAGGATATCCGATCGTTAACAAGCTGCATGGTCTTTCCCTGTGAAGCAAGTCAAGAACCCAATCCACAACATGTCCATGATGGGTTAGCAAACATATGTGAAAGAGCTGTAATGGGACCCTTACCTCTTTGAGGGAGACGACCCCGATGAGGCGTCCGATGCTGGTGACGTAGGCGTGGTCGAGTCCCAGCAGGGAGAAGATGGTGTGGGTCTGCAGGGAAACACCAAAGAACCATAAGTATGTGTTGGGAAAACACTGAATGTCCTCTTTCAATGTGAGAGTACACATGCTAACAAAGGTATCCCAACTGTAGCTGTGAACATGACAGGATGTATGATTACCTAGAAGAGCATCAGGACTGTTTGAGGCATATGATAGCTATGTGATTAACATGATGATTCAGCCTCTATGGAGATAGACATATGACAAGCATGATCATTTCTGACGTGGAGCTAATCTGAACTAAACATTGAATACTGCTTTCTATTCCTCCATCTTGTGACTGTGTAACTCCCTCTCTTGGATATCAGCATGTGAAGGACACTGCTCAGGAACTAGTTGATGCTCTGTATGTGATGACTACTTCCATTCTGGAGAGGATCACAAACACATGGATCCTGATGTTGAAGCTCAAGCCGGGGACGAGTGATGTTTGTCTAACAGTATAACATTATAACACTTGAAACAAGTTCCTGCTTTCTACAGAAAATGAGGCTCAGATGCTCCACTGACTTCAATTATCCAACGCTGACAAGTTCATTCACAAATGGATTCACTCAACGGGTCATGTGATCTGCTTAATGGGATACGACCACTGCAATTTGGTGTTTTTTTTGCAAGCACCATCTGCATAACTTAAAATGTCTAACTATATAAACATGTGGTCCATTTCAGCTTTGTAAACTATCTCCAAAGAAAGATTTTATAGCGTTAAAAGATACAAAAAAGACTTAAAACAAATTAATACCGTTTTGTAGGATTTGTGAAATCTAGGTTCCTTATGAGGACACTTCAAACATAACAAGGGATCATCAAACCTCATCTCTTTGAAGTTTCCTCAAAAAATAACTTTGTAATTTGGTACCGATTACAGAGAATCTACATTTGCCCTATTTCTTTTATTGGATTATTTCATCATCTTTCGTAATAATGTATTCTAAAATTACCATAAATGTTTTCCTCCTAGTGTTCACTTAAGGTTGGGTATCGGGACATTTAAAAAAAGGACCCAAATTATTATCAGCTTCTCCTTTTCAACTTATTTTATCATTTATTTTTGCTTTTGTAAAGTAATGTTTGCAGTCTCTCTCTCTACTTCACTAAACTTGTATTTTAATTGTTATTTAGTTGCCAAAAATAACCAAATGCACAACAAAGTGCACTTCCAAATGCAGTTGACTGATAGTATAACCCATTTCTTTCAATGTTACATGAATATCGCAATAATATTCTTTTGGTTTTGTTATGGCAGATTCCTTATCACAGCGTGTTTCTCGCTTATTTATTAAGGTAACACAGGTCAGAGAGGCTCCATTGCCTCTTCCGCTATTATCAGTAGACGTACCCATGTTAAGTAAATTGGCCAAGGTCAGAGGAAGTCCAAGGGAGGTCTAACTAACAAGACTTTCTTGTTAGTTAGTGGTTCATATCCAGCATGCATTAGCTAAGAAATGATAAGGATGTTGGTGTGTTAGTCAATGTAAGGAACATTGTATGTGGTCATGTGCAAACGTATATATAGTTTATTCATTGGATAACTCATATCCTGCAAGACTCCTAAAGACGTCATGAGATAATGACCTTTCCACTGCTGGAACACATTAACATATCAACTATCTGTGCCACGTATGTTTCAAGTGTATGTTCACGTGTGTTTTACGTGTATAAAGCACACCAGATCTTTCTAGTCTGTGGGGACATTTCTGCGATTGGTTGCTGTTGAAGCAAGGTGATGCTACTCAGAGATTATTGTTTGTTGTTGCGCAACTGAATAATAATTCATCTCAACCATATTTCTGTTTGTGTTTTATTGATCTCTCTCTCTGTGTTTAACAGTTTAATATTCGTTTGTCAAAATCTGTAATTAGGATTGCGTCAAATGTGATATTTCTTTCCACAACAAACGTCTCACTTCACGCTTTGACACTTTACTGATGACCTGGCTGATGACTGAAGCACACCTTTATTTGGTAATCATTTGTATGTTAATATAATGTTCATCAGGGATGTGTATGGAGGTCTACATGCAGACGGGAGGCTCTAATAACGCTGTCGACCGCACATTAACCTGACAGCTGTCTCATGAATGGGGTCGAACGCAGGCGGCAGATGTTAAGAGTCTCATAAAAAAGGGGGATTAAAGTCAAGAACACTATCTAATAATAGACTTGAAGTCATGTGCACGAGTTCATCTTGTGAATCCCAACATTTCCCCTTTAAAATAAACAGTTTTCTGTAAGTCATATCCTGCAAAACCTCCTTACTCTTGTTGTAGCAAACACTGTGGATGGTGGCTTAAAGCCCACCTCCGCTACGCGCCGTTCGTTAGATGAGCCTGGTTATATTAAAGGGGGGATGTAGGTCAATACTGATGTACATAAGTATCACACTGGACAGAGTTGACAGTTCCAAATGCTCGTCATGAAGTCCACTGACTTGCTGCCCGCCGTAACAGATGGCACTCTTAAAGAAGCACAGGAAGCAGGCTCTTTACTGCTTTGCAAGAAATATAGTACTCAGAGAGACGTGCTTTTCCAGACACTGAAGAAAGCAAAATTCCATGACTTGTCGCTATCAGGGCTGTTAGGGAAAAACATCAGGCAATACTCTCCACTTTCAAACGTGTTTTATATAATCATGTAGGCAGCTTCGTTTGAGTGCTTCATAATAGAGGAATTCATATGACTCATTTGTATGCAGCACCCATCACAAAAACCACAAAGCCAAATAGTTCGGTGGCTTCTGAAGTGCCGTCGGTGCCAGACGTGTCTTTATTCTGGCATTTATACTTTCAAATAGTTGAAAAAGTACTTTTGTTTTGGCACGTTTCTTTGACCCGTTTCTGCTCTGTTTCTACTCTCTGCCCTATTAGTACTGTATTTGCTGATGCAACGACTCCATGTCCCCACGGGGGTCATTAAAGTTTCATTGAATCTCCGCTCCATTACTGAAGTGACTGTCGGGGGAGTGCAGCTAAAAGCAAAAAAAAAGAGCAAGAAGTCAAAAAAACTTCAACGGTGGATTACAACGGTTGCAAGATTGATGCCAACTGGAGTTTTACTTCCAGACCCCGTTTAGTTTTTAATGAGACGTTTTTGCTTTGACAGAACGGACATTTGGGATATCTGAAATTGATCCCACCGTGCCAAGCAACAGAACGCTGTGCCAAGACAAAGATTGTTACGTGTTTTTAGGCGAGCAATCTGTTAGAAAGTAGCTCTAAAATAAGATATAAAAGCAGTCTGAGTCTGCTCACCTTTAATTCAGCCCGTTCACATCAGATTTAAATGTAATTCGCTGATTTAAAAAGGGCTGAAAACGTATTGATGATCACCACAGTGATGCCAGTTTCTGCCCTGAATCATTGGGTCATGTTTGGTGTTTAATCTTAAGTGAAAACCACGGGGGAAAAGGATGTAATGTAAGTGTTCTTTAAATGATAGTTTAAAACTTAGATACGCCCAAATAAAAATAAACTTTCTTCTTACTTTCTTTCTTACATTTTGATTTATCTCAAATGACATTTAGTGTGACATTTACGGCCATTTGCAGTAACTCATCGAACTGATGTAAGAACATTTGATATAATGTTTTAAGTAACAAGTTTTAGAGGACTTTGTAACCTTTGGGCCGAACCAAGTTTAACTTTGTCCAGTCAGGCCCTTTTTAACCAACATATACAAGACTGAAAATCACTTTTTAAATGCATAATTTACAAGCTGGACAATCACACCTAGTTTTTCATTTGTTGATATAAGGGAAGGTCACTTCTGGAGGGTTTGTATTGTTGTCAACTGTTGTAAAGTCTGCAAGGGTTAAAACTCATTCTCAGCATTTCATGTTGAGCTTCACTTTAAGTTGTTGGGATAGCCAAGCTCAGTACAAAAGGTGTAATCATAATTTCTTGTTGCAATATTTCTTGTGTGTCAGATTAAGATTCATCTTAAAATCCAACCTCACGTCACTTTACAGCTCCGTTAGTTTAAGCTCAAGTTTATACTAATAAAGTTACAAGGACTCAAGAGTACTTCCCTCTGTTTTCAGAGCATGCAGCCAACGAGGTAGGTTGTTACAGTTATTTTACAGTTAATTACTTTACCAAAAGTCATCTCACCTGCATGTTATTGTGTGTGTAACATGGTGCCATGTTTTGTCATTCATACAGTTCATTTATGTGTAGTTTTCACGGTGGAGGAGGAATAAACCCATAATGAGAAAGTCTGCCTGTGCTTCGAGGGAATTACATCACTCATTAAACCTGTGAGTAGGCAGTGGTTTCAGTTAGCTTCTAGAGAAATATCACTTCTAGACTGCTAGGGATAGGCTGAGTAAATCTGCTTCAAAAATGTGTTTCTCTGTTACAACATCTGCTAAGGGAAGTGTGTTTGGCTTTGAGTCCTGTTAGCCACTTCTCAAATGAGGCTCGGGGCGAAAAAAAACAGAGTATCAGAGACATATCGGCATCATGTAAACAATCCAAGTAACAGATTTGTGCTTTACAGAAAGGCCTGCATGCCAACACAGAACAACAACAACAGTAAACAGCAGGAGATACATGGTAGCCAGGTCCAGAGAAGCTGAGCCGGGGCGAGAGGTAGAGAGAGAGAATAACCACACACACACACACACACACACACACACACACACACACACACACACACACACACACACACACACACACACACACACACACACACACACACACACACACACACACACACACACACACACACACACACACACACACACACACACACACACACACACACACACCACACACACACACACACACACACACACACACACACACACACACACACACACACACACACACACACACACACACACACACACACACACACACACACACACACACACACACACACACACACACACACACACACAGCAGCGTTAGTGGCGTTGGGTGGTGTTTAATATGCTGAAGGAGATTGTGCGTGGTATTGGCTTTTGGCAGAGTGCAGTGGAGGGAGGTGGGAGATGGATTGGTGCAGGATCCCTCTCTTAAATGTTTAAAGAGTATTCACACAGAGCCCAGAGGAAGAGAGAGAGAGAGAGAGAGAGAGAGAGAGAGAGAGAGAGAGAGAGAGAGAGAGAGAGAGAGAGAGAGAGAGAGAGAGAGAGAGAGATAGGGGAGGCATTATGAATGGGTGACATCAGGTGCCTCAACAACCAGAAGAGTGTGTGTGTGTGTGTGTGTGTGTGTGTGTGTGTGTGTGTGTGTCTGTGTGTGTGTGTGTGTGTGCGTGTGTGCGTTTGTGTGTGTGTGTGTGTGTGTCGTTGTCGGCATACTCCTTCATTGTCAATACAAACCCAAGAGTATCCAGTGTATACAAAAATGGTAAATGTGTGACAGAAATGCCCTTTTTTATATTCTTATATGCACTTTCTGTTCATTTTGTAATTGCTTAACTGTTCCACACACCTCTTCTTAAGGTGTGAGGAAAGTAAAGTGGTTATTGTATCTGTAGATGTATAAATCTTTAAAAAAGAGAAAGACTACGAGCATTTCTGTTAACTTTATAGCTAAAACTATTACAATTAAACACTGCATTATGATTTTTACTGTCCTGTTTCATTATGTTAAGCTTTTTTTTATCTTCTGTCTTACTTTTAATATCCTTTTTTATCAGCTTGTGTTTCTTTGAAATCTGTTAAAATGCATTTTTATATCTTATGTTAAGTGGGGAAAGAGGCATTATTCAAATTAACTTTCCTTCCCTTATTCGATTAATAAGTGCTGATGCTCTTGTTCCCTAGAAGCAATTGTTAGGAAGTCCTTTTTATGAGGGAACACACACACACACACACACACACACACACACACACACACACACACACACACACACACACACACACACACACACACACACACACACACACACACACACACACACACACACACACACACACACACACACACACACACACACACACACACACACACACACACAGCTGTATTTACAATCAGACCTTATGCAGTGATGTGCGCTCCACCAGCTGGAAGGGGGCGGGGTCGATCTTGCAGTTGGTAAAGTTGACCTGTTCATCAAGCTGCCTCTCCTCCCACTCTGCAATCTGCAACACACACACACACACAAATTATGTCAGTAAATACCCCACTGGTGAATTCAAAAACAGTGTCTGCTAACGACAAAATGTCATCACGCCCAACATTAGCCGCCTTTAGCTTAGCGGTGGTGACGTGAAGTCATGTGACTTTGCTGTAGTTCCTTTATAGCCCAACATTAGCTTCCTTTAGCTTAGCGGTGGTGACGTGAAGTCATGTGACCGTGCTGTAGTTCCTTTATAGCCCAACATTAGCCGCCTTTAGCTTAGCGGTGGTGACGTGAAGTCATGTGACCGTGCTGTGGTTCCTTTATAGCCCAACATTAGCAGCCTTTAGCTTAGCGGTGGTGACGTGAAGTCATGTGACCGTGCTGAAGTTCCTTTATAGCCCAACATTAGCCACCTTTAGCTTAGCGGTGGTGACGTGAAGTCATGTGACCGTGCTGTAGTTCCTTTATAGCCCATCATTAGCTTCCTTTAGCTTAGCGGTGGTGACGTGAAGTCATGTGACCGTGCTGTAGTTCCTTTATAGCCCAACATTAGCCTCCTTTAGCTTAGCGGTGGTGACGTGAAGTCATGTGACCGTGCTGTAGTTCCTTTATAGCCCAACATTAGCCGCCTTTAGCTTAGCGGTGGTGACGTGAAGTCATGTGACCGTGCTGTGGTTCCTTTATAGCCCAACATTAGCAGCCTTTAGCTTAGCGGTGGTGACGTGAAGTCATGTGACCGTGCTGAAGTTCCTTTATAGCCCAACATTAGCCACCTTTAGCTTAGCGGTGGTGACGTGAAGTCATGTGACCGTGCTGTAGTTCCTTTATAGCCCATCATTAGCTTCCTTTAGCTTAGCGGTGGTGACGTGAAGTCATGTGACCGTGCTGTAGTTCCTTTATAGCCCAACATTAGCCTCCTTTAGCTTAGCGGTGGTGACGTGAAGTCATGTGACCGTGCTGTAGTTCCTTTATAGCCCAACATTAGCCTCCTTTAGCTTAGCGGTGGTGACGTGAAGTCATGTGACCGTGCTGAAGTTCCTTTATAGCCCATCATTAGCCGCCTTTAGCTTAGCGGTGGTGACGTGAAGTCATGTGACCGACCGTGCTGTAGTTCTTTTATAGCCTAACGTTAGCTTTTTACATCTGCATTCTGATCCAAAACGTGTGAGGGGGTAGCCATGATTGTGCATCAAAATGTTCTTTATCTGAAAGGTCTGACTTGAAGTGACAGCGTGTATAATAGTTCCTGTTAACAGAAGATGTCTTTATGCCTCGTGCCAGTCACTAATCAGAAGGCAAAAGCATCAAACAAACGCATAACCCCTCCTGACAAACCACCAGCCTCTGATAGACAATCAATGGAGCGGGCCCCGATGCTGAATGACTCCATAAATCACACAATGATGGAGGTGAACGAGGAAGAGAGACGCGGAGACATGGCAGACGTATGAGAGGTGAACGATGAGGGATACCGAGAGGAATAAAGGAGGAGAAAATGTGAGGGATGTGCGGCTGACAGACAGGAAATGAGAGGTGCTGTTGATGGATGAATTATGTATGATGTCAAATGATCCAAAAATATAAGACTTCAGGGTAATCGGCCCATCTTTGGGATATTGAGGAATCTGGAAGAGTCATGGTGGGGATGTGCAAGCCGAGATTTAAGGTTTTACTTTTAGGCTGATAAACAAACAAACAATCAATGATAACTGTTTTTATCCTTTTCGTTGTCCTTTAATCTGAATTTTTTACCTTTTCTTTTTGGAAGTAATTGAGTGATGTGGCATTCAAACTAAGTACAATTACTCAAGATAAGTACAATTTGAGGTACTTTTACTTTTGGTACTTTAACTATATTTTGATAATAATACTTTTGTACTTTTACTGGAGTAACATTTTGAATGCTGGACTTTGACTGTAACAGAGTATTCCTACACTCTGGTACTTTTACTCAAGTACAAGATCTGACTACTCCTACTTTTACTCAAGTACAAGATCTGAGTACTCCTACTTTTACTCAAGTACAAGATCTGAGTACTCCTACTTTTACTCAAGTACAAGATCTGAGTACTTCTACTTTTACTCAAGTACAATATCTGAGTACTCCTACTTTTACTCAAGTACAAGATCTGAGTACTTCTACTTTTACTCAAGTACAATATCTGAGTACTTCTATTTTTACTCAAGTACAAGATCTGATTACTTCTACTTTTACTCAAGTACAATATCTGAGTACTTCTACTTTTACTCAAGTACAAGATCTGAGTACTTCTACTTTTACTCAAGTACAAGATCTGAGTACTTCTACTTTTACTCAAGTACAAGATCTGAGTACTTCTACTTTTACTCAAGTACAAGATCTGAGTACTTCTACTTTTACTCAAGTACAAGATCTGAGTACTTCTACTTTTACTCAAGTACAAGATCTCAGTACTTCTACCTTTACTCAAGTACAATATCTGAGTACTTCTACTTTTACTCAAGTACAAGATCTGAGTACTTCTACTTTTACTCAAGTACAAGATCTGAGTACTTCTCCTTTTACTCAAGTACAAGATCTGAGTACTTCTACTTTTACTCAAGTACAAGATCTGAGTACTTGTACTTTTACGCAAGTACAAGATCTGAGTACTTCTAGTTTTACTCAAGTACAATATCTGAGTACTTCTACTTTTACTCAAGTACAAGATCTGAGTACTTCTACTTTTACTCAAGTACAAGATCTGAGTACTTCTACTTTTACTCAAGTACAAGATCTGAGTACTTCTACTTTTACTCAAGTACAAGATCTGAGTACTTCTACTTTTACTCAAGTACAAGATCTGAGTACTTCTACTTTTACTCAAGTACAAGATCTGAGTACTTCTACTTTTACTCAAGTACAAGATCTGAGTACTTCTACTTTTACTCAAGTACAAGATCTGAGTACTTCTACTTTTACTCAAGTACAAGATCTGAGTACTTCTACTTTTACTCAAGTACAAGATCTGAGTACTTGTACTTTTACTCAAGTACAAGATCTGAGTACTTCTACTTTTACTCAAGTACAAGATCTGAGTACTTCTACTTTTACTCAAGTACAAGATCTGAGTACTTCTACTTTTACTCAAGTACAAGATCTGAGTACTTCTCTCACCTCTGTTAAAACCTCCACTCATTCAGTCAAAATTAACGAAGCCATTCCACGTTGACTTTTCTGTCAGAAAAACACACTTTGGGACTAAATGAGGAATAATTGGCAGCTTCGAATAAACACAATTTGTCAAATTGAAGCTACATATTTGTAGGATTGTATTATTTGTTGGAAATAATGGATTGACCGAAAGTGAAACGTAATTTGTTTATCTCCCTTGTTTTCCCTATCCTCTCCAAAATATAATGGGTTCTTCCTTTCTCTATGCTACAATCTTTCACAAAGGTTAATTAAAAGGGTTTTTCAGAGGAAACCAAGCAGACAACCTGACCTGACATATTTGGAGAAGGTAATAAATAATCACAAAAATAAATAGTGCTAATAAAAGAAATTCATCTCAAGTTTTGCCAAATGTCACCACTTGTTATTTTGTAAGCTGTTTTCCTAATTGGCTGTACGGTGTGTGTGTGTGTGTGTGTGTGTGTGTGTGTGTGTGTGTGTGTGTGTGTGTGTGTGTCTGTGTCTGTGTCTGTGTCTGTGTCTGTGTGTGTGTGTGTGTGTGTGTGTGTGTGTGTGTCTTACCTCTCTAATGGTCATGTCATCCTCCACATCTACGTCGTCCTGTAGACAAAAAGTCAAAGGAGAGCAGTCAGTACGGAACATATATTCACAGTAAAATGAAGTAGTCTACAACACGGATACACAAGCGGGAGACGAATGGTAAACAAATGAAAACAATGATGTCCAGTCGGCTGTTATCACAAACACAAACATTTCTACTTCTCAACTTCACACAGAAGGTAAGTAGACTTATTGAAGACACATATTCACTCACGCATCACATCGTAAGAGCGATGCAGCGCCGCCGTTTGGAGACAGATGGACAGAAATGTGTGACTAAAGGAGCGACTACAGTACATTTAATGAGAGCGGGGGATGTGATGTATGAGATGTCAGAGCAGATGATCATTATGATAATGATGGATCTGTGGAGAGGCTCATAACTGACGGGCTGACGCTGCTGTTTGATAAGCTGGAGTTACACCATAGATGGTATAGAAGAACAAAGTGTACAACGGCCACGGTTTTAAAGCATTGAGTTCGGCATCTGGGTCGGTGCCATCTTGGTTTTTTGACGTCCATATCTTGGTTTTTGAGAGCCAGAAGTGACATGAAAGGACAGAGGAAGGTACAACCAGGTAGTAAACAAGATCTTTTGCCTGATCACTATTACAATTCATTTTCATTAAGCGAAAAACACACTGTGAAAGTTCTACGATAAACACAACACCAACACCGGAAAACAAAATGGTGGCAACCTGTCAATCACAAGGTAGCCCCGCCCTAAAACATACACTGCTTTATTCTCTATTTTACTTTAACTGGGACCATAAGTTACTAAATTATGATCATGCTGTATTGAAGAAGACCTAAAGATTGAGACCATAAACTGGTCAGGAAAATGTTAACTGAGGTAGCAAATAAAAGTTATTTTCTCTTAGTCTTCTATACAATCTGACTTATCTTTTGCTCACTGCTGCTGAATAAAAGTGAGAATGTCAAACATACTCTAAATTGGACCATCATTTACTAAATGGACTTTAGTATTTGAAGAAGACTTAAAACTAGAGAGCAAAACCGTGAACTCTTTAAAAATTCACAGCGATAACTAATAAAGTAATACTACGGATACTTTTCTCATAGACTTCTATACAATCTAAAAAACAAATAAATCAATATACTGTATGGAGTTGCCCTCTGCTGGCCTTTAGGAAGAATTCAAGTTGAAGCCACTTAAAGAAAATGTTGACTAGGGTAATAAATCAAGTGAGGAGTTGGGTCTTTTTCTTGTAGACCTCGATACAATCGGACATTTTTTGGAACTTATTTTTATTTAAATTAGCCTCTATGGCTTAATTTGGCACGTTTACATGATGGACTCAAGTACTCATGTTATTGATTGTGTATTGTTGTTACAAATAAAAATAAAAATACAACCAGTGGAGACGCCCCCTGCTGGTTATTAAGAGAATGCAGGTTTAAGCCAATTTGCTTTTCATAGTCTGAGGTTGTCGCCCGAGTCAAAGCAACTCTGTGCTTTACAGAGAAGCTCTGAGAATACTATGGGATGGAAATAAACAACATGTGTGTGTGAAGATGTTTCCACAATGTGTGTATTCAGCTCCATGTGTGTGTATGTGTGTGTGTGTGTGTGTGTGATGGGCTGTGAAATACATTCTCTAAGTGTTTAGTCATGAGCTTGAATACAGGTATTTACTTCTCAGGATTCAAGAAAACATGTGTGTGTGTGTGCATTAAATACAGGGAGTCATGGTGTGTGTGAAGATGTTTCCACAAAGTGTGTATTCAGCTCCATGTGTGTGTGTGTGTGTGTGTGTGTGTGTGTGTGTGTGTGTGTGTGTGTGTGTGTGTGTGTGTGTGTGATGGGCTGTGAAATAGGTTTTCTAGGTGTTAAGTCAGGGGCTTGAGTACAGTTATTTACCTTCAAAGTACTGAAGAAAACATGAATGTGTGTGTGTGTGTGTGTGCATTAGATAAAGGGAGTCATGGTGTGTGTGACCCAGGGGCTGATGGGAGCCCTGAGCTCATTTATCCTCATCGCCATGGTGAACGACCTGTTGGTAACCCTAGCAACTGTTGCCGCGGGGTAAAAAAAAAAAAAAGGAGCCTTACTGTAGCGTTATGTAAGCTGCAGCCGGTGAGACCACACACACACACACACACACACACACACACACACACACACACACACACACACACACACACACACACACACACACACACACACACACACACACACACACACACACACACACACACACACACACACACACACACACACACACACACACACACACACACACACACACACACACACACACACACACACACACACACACACACACACACACACACACACACACACACACACACACACACACTTATTCTGCTTGTCACAAGGGCACTCTGAATGTCGCCATTGGTGTTGACGGGGAGAAAATGTAAAACTAAAGACTGATGGAGAGATCAAATCACTTCGGTGTGTGTGTGTGCGTGTGCGTGTGCGTGTGTGTGTGTGTGTGTGTGTGTGTGTGTGTGTGTGTGTGTGCGTGTGTTTGCAGAAGAAAGTGCGTCTTTGAGAGACAGAGAGGTTGGACTGACTGTGCATGCTAAATAGATGCTTTGAGAGAGATTAGCTGCTCTATTAAGAGAGCAAATCTCTGCTTTTGGATACAGGAGTTAGGGAGAAGTGTGTGTGTGTGTGTGTGTGTGTGTGTGTGTGTGTGTGTGTGTGTGTGTGTGTGTGTGTGTGTGTGTGTGTGTGTGTGTGTGTGTGTGTGTGTGTGTGTGTGTGTGTCTGGGGAAGTGAGAGAGCGAAACTTTGTGAGAACGACTGACAGTGAAATCCGAGCGACCGTGTGGGCATATTCAAATGAGATTTGAATAAGTGTGTGTGGGAGCAGAGGCATGCTCTGCTCCCATGTGCTGACAAAAGGCCGATGAAGCTGTATTGCTCGCTGCGCTGTTTTTCCGTGACCAGACAAAGATTACAGAGGTCTGTTGATCTACGTTTTCCCCCTGAAGCTATCCACATTTCCATCAGTGGCAACCATCCAAGACCAGGTCAGCTGGGAACACACACAGGATTATGTATTGGGTTTAAGCATACAGTATAATGAACAGAGATTTATGATTGTGGAAATCTGGATTAAAAGCAGCCTCTCGTTCCGGATATTCTTCCTTCTCTCAGCCCACAGTAGAGAGAAGGGGAAGTGGTAAGGCTTTCTTTACACTTCCAATTTTGCTGAAGGGAGGGATTAGCATTTTTGTCTTCTTTATCTTAATCCACAATCTCCCTCAGATTTAAAAAAAGGTCACTTCAGGAAGTTTGGATTGTATGTAGACAGGTTTGGAGGCACATATAGAAAATGAAGAAAGTAACATTTCAGTGAAAAAGTAGGATTACAAGTGTTTCTTTGCATTTCTTCAAGCTTCGTTATCCTTTATGAAATAGTTTTATTTATGCTGCCCAAAGGAATTTAAAACATAATTGAAAAAACAAAAAATGTGTTTTCCCGGATCCACCAAAGTCATTGTGGACAGTTTGTTGTTGGGACTATTTCTTTGTTAACAAAACGTTGACTTAAATGCTAATATCAGCATGCTATCATCTTCACAATGTTAATGCTAGCACGTTAATGTATACATTTTAACATGTTAACTCAAGGTGCTAACATTTGCCAATTAAAAATGAGAGGTCAGGGGGTCAGATTTGAAAGAATTCCTCCACTGGGGATCATGAATGTCTGTTAATCCAACTATTTACAATATATGTAAAAGCGTCATCATCATTCAAGTCATTGGGATTCATTGGCTGAGATCCATGAATGTCTGAACATATTTTAGTACCAAAACATCAAGTTTGAACTTCACCTAAGTCAATTTAATGTATCCTCTAGGGCAGTGCTTCTCAAACTTCTTTCAGTAATGTACCCCCTCTGAAACATTTTCTCAGCCAAGTACCCCCTGACTGACCCCGAACATTTTTGATATAAAAAGCCTATATAACTAATTACAATATAGTGATGTTCCATCAGTGTGTGATTTATTAACTCCTTCATGCATTGTACAAACAGAGAAGAACCAGTTAAGCACCAGAAAAGCACAAGAATGGATCTTGAACCCTTGGTGGTTCTAGGAATATTTTATATAAAACTGTGTTTTCTATTTAACTTATTGTACTATAATTATTTTTGTAATGATGCATGGTATTTCTTTTATTAACCTTTTTTAATTTTTTTATCTCACGTACCCCCTGCAGTACCCCAACGTACCCCTAGGGGTCCGCGTACCCCCATTTGAGAATCACTGCTCTTGGGAACATGAATATCTGTAGCAGAAATCCTGACAATCCACGTGAAAGCTACTAAGATATTTTATCCACAAATCTCTCGAGGGAAGACACAGAAACACCAACAATGAATATCTGTGGCATGCTTAAAAAGTATTCAAACCTGTAATAAACGTTGTTTCTTAAAAAGATATTTGATTTTCTATTCTTTGGGGAGCCCATATTGGTTGGTGAAGAATTGCATTGTCACCTCAAACTACAGACAAAACACATGTCCATTCCTCCTGTGATCCACATGTGATACGTAGCACTGTTAATAAAAGGTCCCTTAATAGAACAGATTATCTCGAACAAGCAGTTTAAGTGATAAGTTATTATTGAAGTGCTGCAGTTTCTGTCTAATGAAGTTCATATCTTCATCATTGGTCTTTCTATCCTCTGAATAGCTCTCCCAATGATGGCTAAAGACACTGTGGAGTTCATCCCTCATGCTTATGCTCGATGTCTGTTCTTTGAATCGGCACCACACTAGATGGAGCAACAGGGACACATTGCAGCAATAACTACTGATCACTCGTGCAGGAAACTGACTGCTGACTTCCTCTCTGCTGACACTCACTTTCCTTAGTGCTTTCCAGTTCTATTTCTGTGTATCTGATTAGACTCAAATGTAAAATAACATCGTTAAAGACTCAGTGGTTTGAACAATAATGGCGGGCTGTGAAAGAGTCTTAAGAGCTTTGGGAAA